ATGAGAAGAATGTTGAGGAATGTTGATACCCCAAATTGTTTTAGTTGTTGCTACATAATGTTCAGATTAGTTAAGGACATTTTCAGCTCCCAGAGAAGCTGAGAAGGAGCACTGGCAGGACCAGGGGATATTCCATATCACAGACATCATGCTGGGTATGTAAATGGGGGTTGGCTGGGGGGACAGGGTTCTGCTGCTCAGGACAGGCCGGGCAAGCCATCAGCTGGTATCGTATCATTTTATTTTGTACACCCCTTAAACTGTTATAACTGACATTATTATTATTATTCATTTCCTCTTCTGTAGTAGCAAACTACACAATTTACTTCAGGAGTTGAGCTCCACTCACATGACAGCCCCAACACACTGTACCTACATTCACTGTCTCTTGCCGGGAACGCAGAGAGCTGTGGATTTGGTGCAACTGGAATGACTTTTTCTTCTGATGAAGAGGACAGTTTGGACTCCTGGTGGCTTGTTTCACTTCATGAACAGAAAGAGAAATTCATAGTCAAGCTTCAAAACAAGCCTTGAAGAGCTTTACAAACTACTAACATTCTCTCAAAAAGCAGTTGCAGCTTTCAAAGGATCTGGGGAGAAAACTGCTTCCCTTTCCATAAGCAAATGGATGCTCATTGAGCACACACGAGGAATAAAAATTAAGTCTACAAAATACTGCCACAAATTATTCAAACCCCCAAATAAACCCGCTAACATTGCAGGAACCTCAGGTGTAATTTTGAGCTACACCATTTTCAGACAAAAGCAGGGCTGCTCAGACAAAAACAAAGCTTCACAGCATCTGCTTAGCTTACAGCATCCTCAAACTGTAAAAACATTTATGTTGCCTGTTGAATGAAGCCTTTATCACCATACTTTGGGCTCTGCAATGACTTGAAAAGAACAGGCTCAGCCTCAGAGCTAGTCAATCAGACTTACACCCACCCCAAAACAGAAAATAGAAAAGCCATTATGCGGAAGAACACAGGAAAGAACCGATGCCAGCTCTTTTATAAACTTACCCTTCACTTGCAGTCCCAAAAGGAGCAGCCTCAGTGCCTTTGAACACCAATTTACCAGCCTCAGGAAGGGCAAGACATTCAGCCTTTGATTCTTCCACAAACCCTACAAAAGCAGACAGATGGATGACTTCCCTGTTGCACTTAACAGCATTTCTTTTCACATGCTCATAGGATCTTAAAGCGAGCCTTTACGCATTTCATCTAGGACAGGGATCTAACTAAATCATGCTACCAAGACTTCAAATGCATGGAAGGTCTGACTTCTTCTCTCCAGTAAAACAAGAACTCTGACACATCCTTTCAGTCAAGAAAACAAACAGATCATTGACTCGGGCACTCCTGTGATTTACAATAAGAAAAAGAAAATAAAAAGGAGCTGAGGAACCTTAATAACAACACACCAGGTTTTTTTCTTAGTTCTGATGAATCGGGTTGTTCCGTCTGGAAAGGTTTGTCTTCAACCATTTCACTGCCTCTTTCCTTCTCTGATTCTTGAAAACTGGCAGTTGCGTCAGTGGCAGAATGGGCTGGTTTAGCAGCTATAAAGATGACATCATCTTCAAAATCGCTGAGGGATTTTGCGTCGTGATACTCCAAAGTAGTTTGGTCTGACCTGGCAGAGATGTTACTATTTTCTTTGCTGACCTCCATTTTCTCCAAACCATCTCCAGGTGTGCTTTCTGAAGACTCTTCCAGTTCAGCATGATCATCCTCAGGATTGCTCAGAGTAAACAGAGTTGTTTTCCTTCTGCTTCCAGACCAAGCATCCTCCACCACTCCATCATCATGATGATGATCCTCAGGTGAAGGTCCAGACAGTGCTCTATCATTTTCTGTCACCTTTTTGAAAAAAATTCAAAGTGACAATCAGTAACGTCTAGATGCTTTTTGTCAAAGCAAAAAATTGAACAAAGGACAAACATAGACTGAGAAGTGTAAGTTTTACAAGTGTCAACTTAAGCAAGGCCCTACGAAAGCAAGGCCCTACAAAATTAATTCTCATTTTAGCACTAGGTTAGTTTTTTAAGGCCAACTGTCAAAATAAAGGACAATTTTGACTGCTTACTGAGTTTCCAGAACCTTGGAGGATTAGGAAGAATTGAATCTTGAAAGTGCTTGCTTATCCCATCATCGCAAGGCTGTTCATTGGGTTCACCGGTGTCTTTTCAAAAGAGGGAGCTTTGCAAACCTAAAATCCTAACTCAAGATTTCTCTTTCTTTACGTTTGCACTTTTCAACTTGTATGCACCACTAAAATATTTTACTCTTCCCTATGCCTGGAGCACGGAACAAGTAAATTCATCTGGTCACACTACAGTATCAGTAAGAACTTCATATAGGAGAGGGAGCCTCTCATTATAATTAAGTAGCTCTTTATAACAGGCGATAAAACGTATAATAGAAACTGACCATGACAATTTGTTAGCACATGTACGGAAAGCTTGTACATTTAGACACTAGAAAATGTCCCCGTTCTGCCTCTGATTTTGGTACGTTATTTTGACAACTGCATGACGAGCTGAATGAGGGAATCCAAGTGAGAGAATCACAGATTTAGATGGGGTGTGAAGGGACCTCTGAAGATCATCTAGTCCA